CCCCCATACATTTTTAACGGTCCAATACTATACGACACCGATCATCGAGTCCAGTGGTGAATACAGGAAAATATTTCATAGGGGGTGTTGTAAAAAAGTAAAATTTAAAATGATGAATATCATGTTTGATCACTCATTATATGATGTATAATATTTGTATATATTTAAATTGGGAGGGAAGTATTAAGGAAAACTCTGAAGTAACTCTTATATCTATAGGCCCGATCATATTTTTAAACCATTTTTTTTCTTTTTTATATTTTGGGGGTCGGGGTCGACCCCCCTCCCCTTTGCGTTAGTACTGGTTGACACTGCGATTATAACGCGGTTCAGTGACAATTGTCCAAGCATTATCGATGTTCGCCTAGCCTCTGGGTAGAAAGTGGAAATTTACGTTGGATGCAATAAGCTTTTCAAACTCTCACGTCTTACCGAGGAAACGCGGAATTAATTTACTTTGGTTCACTCTCGAGAGGTCTATTGGCACTATCGGTACATCGACCCCGGAAGAAAATACTTAATTTAATGCCGTCAGCACGAAAATAATTCCATATTCCCGTAGAACATAGTATAATATTATTATTCACTTTCGTAGCTAGAAAAAATTAAAATACTTCGTCTTCTAGTAGTGACGTTAAAATGCGAAATCATTTAAACATTTATTTCTTTGTTAATATTTTCAATCCGTCCTACAATATCCATTTCCAAATTTATGGTAAAATTGTATTCTTTATAACCTATTTACAATATCACTGACTGTGGTCGCAGCACAAAAAATTTCTGGAAGTGTATACTTTCCGATTATATTTATACAGGTTGGGTTTATTATTATATTTACAATATAGTATCCGATCGATCATACCTAGTTCGGAGTATTCAAAAATTTAATAAAAATAAAAAATAAATCACGACTATGAAAAATATTTATTTATAAATTAAAATTGTTTCGATTTTTCTCACCGTGTAGCAAAATCTTTATTCGTTATTTTCGTCGGAACACGCTTTAGTTTTTGGTGTGTAGTAGTTGAATGTACCATTCAACTAATTTCTGCCCTCACTATTGGTCTAAGAATATCTACGAACTAAAAATTAAAGAATTAGTACTTCCAGTCATACGATTGCTTGTATAGTATATGTTTACAGTTAACACATTCGGTTTACCCTTCATAACTTTTGAATTACAACATTTCCGGTAGCGAATGAACTGACCTAATCGTGGTTTTCCCAAAAAACAGTATCATTTCTCTTACCCAACCTTATAACTCTCACTTAGGGCAGTTTTTTTGTACTAAAAACAAATGATAAGCAAGCGTAAAAAATAAAGTTTTTTTAGCAATTCATTTTTGTGACTAGATACTGACACTTAATTTCAGTATTTATATAAAAGGATATTGATCCTTTTATCTACTAACCATTCAATAATATTTTTTATTACCAGAATACGCATTGTTCGATTTTTTTGACTTGATTCAGACATTTCACTTATAGTATATAATTTGATTTTTTTTTTACATTACATAATCATTATACCACTACCCTTTTTCTTACGACAAATAATGATATTGAACGTGTACACATGAACATACACACACTTTTTCTTCGATAAATTTTTATTTTACTTTTATGTGAAATTCACGGGTACGAGTTAATACAATAACTTTTATAGTTTTTTGGATCAATATCAATTTAGTATTATATTGTTTTTAGAGATGAAAAGTAATGAAAACTACGGTCTATTTAACTTATCGATATAATATAATATAGTTATTTAAAAAATAATTTTTACTTTCTATAAAATATAAATACATTCATTCATTATTTCATAAACGCTTACTTTTTAAAAAATGGTAAAGTTTTAACATTTCCGTATGGTTCTTATAAATTTTATTTAAATATAATTTATGATTTTTGTCATAAATACTTGGAACTTTAGTAAAAAACTCTTTTAACTGCACTTAAACTTTTTTTAAAAAATATCTAAAATATCAAACTATCAAATTTTGTTTGTAATTGAAATGGATTACAGTAGCAAACACACAAGTTAATTCCGAATGCATTGCAAATATTTTAATAACAAATCAATGGCATTTTTTTAAAATGGCTTTTGCGGTTCGTAACATATAATGCGATATTACTGCTCTGAATGGAATTACAATATGATTGTCAGACGGGTTTGCCCGTAAACTTCAGTAACCGATATCGGAAGATTTCGATTCGGGAAACGGTCTTGAATAGTTTATCGTGCGTAACTTTTTAAGTAGACGTGAAAACCGATCTGTGAAACGGTAGGTATTGCCGACTCGAAAAAGAAAAACACAGGGGTGTCCTATGCGAAAATATATTACAACTTTTTGAATTTTAAAACAAAAACAATTCCCATTCATCGTGATGTTATGTTCCGTACGTGCGAGACGCGCGTATGAAATTATGTAGACGTATGCAACGTCATGTGTGCACGTTTCGTCGTTTGTTGTTAATTTTTTTTTTTTTTTGGGGGGGAGGTGAACGCGCAGTTGTCTAACCAGGTAAGACGTCCATCGTGCCCTCCCTCCCCGTGCTGTTCGTGTCGAATTTGTAGTAATTTTCTGTTCAACCGCCAGTATCACGATTTAATTTGAAATAATTATCGTTGGCTCATTTCCACAGGCATGCGCGCATTTGTTACGTCCGCCCACCATCGCCCGCACGTCCCTTTGGTCCCAGAACACGCGATATTAACCAGACACATAAATCATACGAATCACACCGCTTGGCCCCGGCACTCGCTGTGCAGTTTAAATAGCGATTAAGCAAAACGACACGTACTCACACACAAGGCTCTTGCCCGCCCTAAATAGAATACGGATATCTGTTTAATGCATCCGAAACGCATACATTACGGTAGAACAGGTGAGCAATCGAAATTTTATTTCAATTTTTCCGTTTTAAAAATCGCCTACACGTGTCGTTAACTCGCGGGTGGGTCTTTGAGGTACGTCTAACGTACTCCTGTTGGCACTGCATTATTCGGTTATTTACTATCTTAACTATTTATCACCGTGGTCTTACACGTCTACTAATATAACCTGAAAACGGATATCGCACTGCTGCATGTTTCTGTTTCTGGCGAATTTTTTTTCGTCAGATTCTACGTGAATTGGTCAACATGTTTAGTCAATATGTTCCTCGGCATTATCATAATATAATTATGTTTTAAAGATCGATAAGAATGTTACGAGGAAAAAAAATATTACCAAATACCAGCTAAAATTATTTATTTCTGGCTATCTCTGTTTTTTCCGTATCGAATAAAATTGTCATTCGGTTTAATATTTATTGCGCATAGGCTGTAAACTATGTGACATGACGGTTGGAGATCATAATATAGTTTACCTTGAACATGTACCGCACGGTTGTCATAATAATGTCAGTCTTCGGAACCTGTAATCTATAATTTATTAAATAGTTTACGGTTTTGAAAGATAATGGAATTTAAATCGCTGAGGTATGAGATCTGTCATATACGGCTGCTTGGTGAATTTCAAAATAGACTGGAGCTGTAACAATCCTAATGCGACCGCATTCAATGCGTACGATGCAATAACACCTCAAGGGTTGATTTGTGATTCAATTGTTACAGTATACACTCACACACACACACACATACATATATATATATAAATGTGTGCGAGAGTGTATATATATGGTATAAGTTAGTTACATAAATGTGACGTTAATCGATGAAGTCGATATACCCCATTAACAATATTCATCGATCCATTTAAAATATAATTATTATTACGTCGATAAAGATTAATAAAATACATTAGCCATGAATAAATTTAATTAAAAATCAAAATGTTTTACTTAAGATGAAGCTCCGAATGAGAAAATGAAAAATTGTATATTATATTGAAAATCTAAATGTATACGTTATAATATTTCCGTGATTGAACTGAACAACTTTTTTGTCCTTATTTTATGTTTGTTAAAACACATCCAGTGGTTTTCAGACCGTACTGAATGACCGTTCAAAACGACATTATAACGTAATAAGTATTGTTAAGGGCCATAGAATTGTCATTAAGCACATTTTCCACAATAATTTCATGACTGATAAATTTTCCAAATATCGAAATACTTCATAGTATTTATGTTTTAAATTATTATAATAGTTTTTGCATTTTATGAATATAATAATGAAACTATAAAATGTAAAAAATATAATACTGTAGCAATGTAACTAAGACTTTTATATGAACGTACATATGTACTGGATGTATTTTATTTCATACACAGTATAAATTATAATTTGCGTTATTTATCAATTTTAATAAATTACACCTTTTAAATTAGTCATAACTTACGAATTTGTAACAATTACTATGATATTCGAGTATTATAATTATGTGAATAAAAATGAATCACAATTATGACGTGAAAAGAGTTTAAAAACGTAAACAATAAAATTTTCAAAAAAGGTCATAGTTTATTCAAAAATATAGAATGCTTTATAAATGATTAAAAAAATCATATTAAAAATGTTTCTACCAAAATCATATTTCGATTTAAATATATACTATTAAATTATATTATATAATCTCTGTTATTCGAAAGATATTAGGAGTAGGTTTTTATATATTACATGTATATTAAATCATCCATAAGTATTGTCACGATAAAATCAACTTTGAGTTTATATTGTCTTGTCCAATTCTTACTTATTATTCTATATAATAATAATAATAATTGTAAAATTAATGGATTTTTTTCTGGATTCCAAATTAAAGCTTAAATTACATTTTGTGTTTTGTTCTTAAAAATGTATAGAGAATTTTATGGGGATACGGTTGGGTAAAAAAGTCAAATATTTGTAGTTGGGATGAACCAATGAAATACTGTTTTGCGATCGTATTTTCATAATAGTTTAAGAGTGTATTATCATGTTAACGAACTGAGTTTTTGTTCTAAAACATTTGCGAATATAGAACAGTTGAATTGTATTTTTTTTTCCAATACAGGTATAATCGATAAATTCGGAGAAATGTTTTGTCCGTTCAGCTCCCGTGCTCCGCCCAAGGCGAACGTAACGCAGACCGAACAACAACGACCTTTGAATTTGAAACATCTTAGCGAAGCTGTCAAAACTCTCACTTCACCGCCGGTGAGTACAGCAATGATAATAACATTACCGTACACGTGTGCACACAATATTGCCAACGAGTGTCAAAAATGATTCGTTCGCTGTATGCGTACGCTCGGCGGCGTTACGAATAATATTATAACCAGGGCTAGGATTTGTATGCAATAACAAATTGTAAAATATTAAAAAAAAAATATTTATTTATTGAAATACATCAATTATTGGCTGTTTATCTTAAATATATATATGTTCGACAAAAAAAACTAAGTTTTATACTTAAATCGGCAGGGATAGAATTAAATACAAAATATTAATATTAAATTACAAATATTAATAACGAAATTTACTATAAAACATTAATTTTTCGCATTCTTATAATTGAAATATGAAATAATATTAATTTTATTCAATATATGCAATAATATGAATTTTATCAAAAATATGCAAAAACATGAAAAACAAAAATACCTCCATTTATCTCATCATGAGATGATTCGTGGACATTACTGACAAAATCAATAATCAGAAGTCGCAAAAAAAACATGCTGTTGCATACAAATCCTAGCCCTGGTTATAACGCTTATTCATATCGTCCTTTCGCCGTGTAATGGTTGTCGCCGAGTTTTGCACATCGAAAAAGAGAAATTCCAAATTTCCTATCCGTATAAACACGGGTAGACACGCACGCGTCACAGGTATGATAGGAATAATGTCAAACCAACTGTGATGATAGTCGATCGGTTTTCTTCGATTTTATTTTTGTTCTCGCACATCGGTTTTGACCCATTAAAACACGATGTCACCACGAGCATGCTGTTCTTTTCGTAATATAAATTAATGTACGGATGACGTGGTACGGATAGGACGATGTACGAAGAAGTCTTGAATATTATTTGTGCATCAACACGATAATACATTATGTCGAATTTGGCAGCGCTCTGCTGTAAATTTTTAGCACCCTTCGAATTATTGAACCATCGAACTTTTATCAATGCACATTTCTTATACTCCCTCCGTCTCGCTCCCTTGTAGTGAATGCGCACCGATTACAATCCCGAATACGTATTAACCCGTAAACAACTTGATCGCAACTTTTCATATGTTCTTCGGTTTTGAAATTAATTTTAATAACCAATCGACCAGCAGCTGTTTTTTTTCTCGAGCACGAACGGCTAATTGATTTCTTGTTTTTACGCATACGTTTTCCGCGCTATGGAATCCTACTACGGAATAATGCTTTTAACCTCGCCCATGCACGAGCTAAAACTAATCATTTCGTAACACGTTATCGCTTTTGATTGGATTTCCCGCAACATAAGACCGCCGGGATCGAACAGTGCGATTCTAAACGTGTATAGAGTTTACATTGTTCGTGCGATTACTCACCGTAAACTGTGTCAACGCAACGATCGCAACTGCATCGCGGTATTCGAATGTATTCGTTTAACGGTGATCGTTGCGGGCAACGTAATATTATTATTTTATTGAAAAATGTTTGGGGAAGGTTTTGAGAAAGGCAATTCACATTAGGAGCGCGCGTCATTTGAACGGTAAAAATACTGATGTTGAAGTTTTCAAACACTCGTCGTTACGAACGTGAATAATATTTTGAATTTAACGCAATGTGACCGACCGTATGCGTGTGCATATCCTTTGTACACGACGCAATACGCGTAGTGCGTTCAAAAATCGCAGAAAACAGAATAATTACACTATCGACGCGTGTATTATTTATATTTTGCACGTGTATCCCGCGATACATCCAAATCTATTAATATTATAATCAGGGACGGATATAGGGAGGGGCCCTTAAAATATTCAATTAATAATAGGCCCTCGCAAAATAATTACCTTTTTTTTTTTAATTTTTCTAGTAATATTCTGTTTCTTTTTTTTTTTTTTAATTTGACAAGTGGCGCTATTAGTGTGCGATTAAACAAATCACTAGATTGGGATCGGTCATTTTCTACCATTACCACTTAATTATAAATAGAATTACTCAACTACAGTGTTGTGTGATGGGTTGTTAATCACAATAGTTATTTGAATTTCAAAAATAGGATTATTTCGTGTGTGTTGTATTTATAAAAATAGATGACTTTAAAGACTTTAAAGGTTACTTGTATTCACTTATTAATTGTTTGTACATTTTATAAATCTGTCTTAATTATGTTCAATAAGCATCATTTATGTAATAAGAAATTAATAGCATGATTAGTGAATAACCCATTAGTAATATAATTTTAAAGTTTAAGTTTTAAAGCATGTAGATCAACTAAAAATTCTTATATTTCAATTTAATGTGGGCCCTGGGGCTCCTACAATCCTAAATTCGACCCTGATTATAATTTATTACACCTATCGTGTTGTACGAATCGCGTACACGTTGCGATGCAGCCGTAAACGCGCGCGCGTTCGCCTCGTTAAATTGTTAACACGACGACGGAGAAAACCATATCACTCATAACAAAATAAAATTGCACATCACTCAATATACATATAAAACATATCATTGTATACACGTCCAGTGGTATAGCTCAAAAAACATTGATGGGGGGGGGTTACATTTACAATTCTCTCTTACATGAGTATCAGCTTTTTAGTTTTAACAAGTCGTTTAAAAAAATGTTAACATATAAAGTGTGTTATTACTTAGTCTGTCAAAACTATGAAAATTGTTCTATGATGATATGATATGGCATTGTACCAATTTCTTATAATTATCGTATATTTTACAAAATAAAAGAAACATATACATAACCCATTATCCTCCACCACCTTCTGGCTACGCCGCTGTACATGAAAGTTATTATAACTGTCGGTGAACGTATCAATTTCGAAAAAGGTTTTCATGCAGCACCGTCGCCATCGCCGCCGATGTCACAATAAAAGCTTTCAAATTCTCATGACTGCTACGATCACGTAACATTTGTGATCAGGGGGGGGAGGTTCTTTGATACGGCAGACGTGTATAACTGTAACCGAGTTATAATGTTCGTATTAGGGCCTGAAATTTGGAATTTTTTGTACTACACACTGAATTTCGAATGCAACTGTTGTCGCCACTTATGTAGTCCGCAGTCATCGACAATCACAGTTTTACTACTGAAAATATCGATTTTAATGTACCCTGAAAACGAATTATTTAAATTTTTTTCGTGCTCCGCGTAATAAATGAACGATGAATTTCGTACGTGTAGGTAACGGTTTTCGCGATTCCAACGGATACGGTCATATCACACGCTTTCGAATTTTGCGATACATACTCTAACCTTTTGCACTACCCCGGAACACGTCATGGCCCTCGCACAGTCTTCGACTGCATACATTTATGTCCCAAAGATATCTTATAAAAAAAAAGTTTAATCTGGATCGCGACTTTAATTATTTATTTTTTATTTTTTTTATTACGGGTAAGTTTCGCCCCTATTAATTCTTACTATATCTATCATGTCACCTATACTATATTACCGTTCATCCATCGTAATAATAACAGCCAGTAATCATATAATATGGATTTATAAAATTATAACATGTCAAATGTATTATGATACATTTATTATATAATTTCATTGTTTATTGATTTTGCACTGTACACACCCACTAGTAGCGCGTTTAAATTATTGTAATTATGTATCTCATTATAATGTCCTTACCATGGTCTATCCTTTATTGTTATATTGATTTAAAATGTTGTATTTCGTACTATTGTCTATGTTAATATGTTTACATGTTGTAATTTATGAGCTATAACAGGTTTTATAAGTAGTCAATGAAATAAAAAAAAAAAAATCCATTATAAGATTTTGATTTTATTATTTCAAGATATAATTTTCAATTTCAACAGATAAAATATTATGATAGTATAATGTAGCTTACAAAATACACCTGAGTCGTCGCCTCATTACCGCCAAGAATATTTCGCCGCTTTTTCTCATTTTGCTGTACTAAAAGTACTTGTAAAGCATTTATACAGTCATTAATATACCAATACTACTTGCGGTACAGATACTACAGACAGGTGGAAAGGAAAACGAAGTTTAGATAGTATAATAATATATAAAAAAAAATATAAAAATGATAACTTATATTTTTTTCTGCATTCTTCGTAATAAATTCATTACGGTTTTTATTTTTATTTTTTTTTATAATTTTTCATTTTGTTTTCATCTATGGCAAATTTCGTTCACATGTAAAAAGGTTTTTGTGATTTCAACGTACACCGTCTCCTATCACATAATTTCGAACTTCACGGAATATACCGAAACTCGAACGTTCCTCGTCGAGGGTTTCAAACGGACACGGTTTCTAGGACGATCGCGGACAAGCACCGGGAAAACAAGAGAACGCGCAAAAATCGCGGCCGATGATCGTCCGAAGGGATCCAGGTGGATCGGTGAACATCATGTGACGGCAAAAAAGGGATAAGACGTTAAACATTTTCGCGCGTCCGATATCTCGTTGAGGTTCAGCACTACGCGCAGCCGTGACCGAAAGTCCGTTACGGTTTTCGTTACCGGACGAGGATTGTTTTTAATTTAATTTTTTTAAATTTTAACCCCGTTCGTCGTGCTAGGCATGCTCAATCGTCGACAGTTTTCGTTCAGTGCCGCTCTTCCGGTGCCCCGCGTAACGTCGTGAAAGTTTTTTTTTTCTTACAAATTATATAGCTATGTGTGCAGCTCTCTGCTGACTCGAATTATATGCGAAATAGTTCATAAACGGTTATGTACACCTGTGGATTACTTGCATAGCTCGACCGGTGAAAACGATTCAGTTGTGGTACGGAAATCGAACTATTCGTTTGTCCGAAATGTCCGTTTGAGAAGCTCAGCATCTGGCCTGGCTCGTAGAAATATTATGAAATAGGTCGTTAGCAAGGTATTTAGTGAACAGATATAAAAGGATACGTAATATCGTATTATTATAATACGGACCTCAGCGGCTCTGTCATTTTTTGATCAATTTCAGAAATTTTGAACACACACACACACACACACACACACATACACACGAGGTAG